CTTCCTCCTCTCTCTCTCTGCCTGCCTCTCTCTGTCTACTTGTGATCTCTGTCTGTCAAATGAATAAATAAAATCTTTTAAAAAATGCTTTAAAAATAAATAAATAAATAAATAAATAAATGTGGGACACCTGGGTGGCTTAGTCAGTTAAGAGTCTGACTCTTGGTGCCATATCAGGCCTTGGTTTCTGGGTCATGAGTGCAAGCTCCATATTACTTACTACTTAAAAATATATAAATAAATAAGTAATGAAAAATAAAATGCAACACATCCAAATATGACATAAACTGCACCTCTGCAAGCAACAGTTGGTCCTGCTTTTGAGTTCCCTGACTCTGCTTTGTTATGACTACCACTCCCCTCAAACAAGCAACCAAGCAGTCATACATGTGTTTGATGTCCTCCCTCTCTTTCATGCCCTTCCCCTGCAGCACGCCTGGGCACACACACACTCCTCCCCCAACTGGTCTTACTCATTGCCTCTTTCAAATTCTCTCAAATATTTCCACTTTCTGATCTTCCTGTCTCCTCTCCAGATCTCGGGTGGTCATTATCCATCAGTTGAACTAATCTTTTCTTTGCCTGTTTCCCTAGTCTTGTTCATTCAAGAATTTAATAAATTGTTCATTTGCAAGCCACCTCTGCTGGATCCTGCTCTAGTCTCTCTCTGTCCCCATCTATAGGCCCTCCTACTGCTCCCAGTTATATTTCCTAAGTCCCCTTGCTTAAAAATCTCTGGATAGGATCAAGTATAAACCTTTAGCATGGCCCCTTGTGGCTTAGCCTCCACTTCCGCTCACACCCATGTTTAGGCACTTCTTCCCATCCCCCATCCCCACCAGGCACACTCCACTCTGGCTCCCAGGGGCCCTCACCATGATCAGACCAGGTGTTCTCCTGCCCCTCTGATCAAGTGAACAGGGGGGAGTTGTCTGAGCCACTACAGGCCTGGTTATGTGAGCAGTCCCTCTCTTAAAATAAGAATTTCCACTCCATTGGCTCAACCCAGAAAAAGCAGAAGTGGTCATTAATAATTCCAGGGCAGGTACGACATTGTTTCTTTTTCTAATCAACCCCATCTCCTGTATACCGTGAAAAGCCCTGGATGATAAACCCTAGCCTTGAGCTACCAAGAGGTTCATCCAAGTCCTGTAGAGCAGGACACTGCAACTGCCTTGAAGGGGACCATCTAGACCCTATGAAGAAACATGAGAAGATCTGCCATTCACTCCAACACACTGAGCTCCTGTGATGATTCAGGCACTGGGGAAGGTGTGGAGGCTACAAGAGAGTCAGACAATTCCTGCAGGTAAGTTGCCCCACACCTTGCCCCTAAGTGCCTAGGTGTATTAAGCAGGCAAACGAGAAAGTCCTCTTACCCATGCTACCTCCCAAGTCATGCATGGGATTCATTTATTTATCCAGCAAATATACACTGAGTACCTACTATGTGCCAGGAACTTTTCTGAGGTGGATACAGTCATGCACAAGATAGACAAATAGGGTGATCCTTGATGGAGCATATGTTTCAGGGGGGTGAGAGGGAAGCGGGGACAGAAAAACAAGTAAAAGACACAGAAAGATAGAAGATATTTGTAAAGCAAGGAACCGGAGTGGGGAAATCGGTGGGAAAGGAGTGATATTTTTTAATAGGGTGGTTGACCTCCCTGAGAAGAAAAGTGACATTTGAAGATGTAAAGGAACAAGGATTCCCCACCCTCCTCCTAATTTCTGCAGTTTTTGTAGAGATCTATTTCGCTGCAAATATTTTAGAGATACATTTCCAGGAGAAAAAATGGCGTGCTCCCTCTACCAACAGGAAAGGAGGCGGTGTGAAAGAGAAGAAAAGAGCGGGACAACAGAAATCATTCCATGTTGAACTGTCCCTGATGGACACTTGAAAACCAGCTCCGGGGGCAGAGCAGGGCCCACCAGGCCGAGGGGCTCTCCGCGGCCCTTCTCTCGGGCTGTCAGGCTAATCCCGCCGCCTCCTCCCACCCTGCCAGCCCTAGGGGGTCGTTTGCTCTGGTGAGTAAAGTTCAAACCCAGCTGAAGCCAGACCCGGAAGGGGCTTCGACCGGGAAAGCAGCGCGGCAGCCAGGGCGTCCCCGGGAACCGGTCCCCCGGGATGCGAGGGCAGAGGCCAGAAGCCGAGCGGCCAGCGGAGGCCGCCGGGCTGGGCGGCGGAGCTGAGAGGCACTGAGCACCCAGACGAGCTCGCTCCCCTAGAGGGGCCACACGTTTTCCCGGCCGCCCGGTGCGCCTCCGCTGTGTTCCGGCATTCTCCGTGGGCACAATACTTTCCCGAAATTCCCCAACTCCTGGGGGCGCGCCGCGCTGCCCGGGACCGCCAAGCAGGAGCCCCCGTTCCGCCCGCCGCCCTCCGGGTTTAGCGACGGCGGATTAAGTGTGCGTCCTTTCCAGGCCTCCCGAAAACCCTCTCAGGGATGCTATTTTGCTTGGGCCCGGGTCTCTCCCGCGCCGAGTTGCACAACAAACCATTTAAACATTTCAGCACAAAACCGGATCCATTGTGGGCCGCACATTAAAAAGTGTTATTCGCTTTGAAGTTTTTGTCTAATGGCTCTAAACTGAAAGAAAATGTTTTCCTATTACTTAATTCAATCATAGCGAAGAGACTTGGTAAAAAGCCCACGGATTTTGCCCCAAAGTGTGACAGAGTTCTCTTTGTGTTTGCTTATCCTCCGCTGTCACACACTTTAATTCGCCTCTCTTTATCTGGCATTCAAAACTTTCTTCAATGACATTCAATAAGGTCCAGAGGCTGGAGGGGGAAAAAAAAAAAACTGGTTATTTTTTCCCCCTAGATATTCTTTCCCAGTAGCTTTGGCCTTGCTCGCATTCAGGGGCTCTTAACTCCTTCCTCCCCGGGTGCGGGCCATGGCTCCCAAGAGAGTTCCGCACCCACCCTTCGCTGGCTCCAGGCTCCGGGGTGCAGTTTCACCCCGCAGATACCCGCCCGCACTCCTCCCCCACCCGCCACTCCTCCGGAGGAGGGGGTGGTGCCTCTACGGTCCTGGTCTCGGCTCTCGGCTCACTCTCAGCGGTCCTGGCCAGCCCAAACCCAGAGAGCAATTAGAACGGGCTTTAGGCTGCACTGCTGCACTCAGCTAGTTTGCAAGCACCACCCTTAGGCGGGGAGCCCTGGAGAGGAGACTCTGGCCTGGGGACAGCATCGTTCTCCTGCCACCACGCCCCCCCCCATGCCAAACAATTAAGGAAGCATTAAGCCCTACTCCTCCTGCTAAATGACATGCCCTTCATCCAGGTTATTTTCTCCACTGCCCCTCCTTAGGGAATCAGTTGTTTTCTCTCCAACAAATTCTCCTTCCTTTTTAATCAGTTATAATTTGTTGCTATTGTTATTGTAAAGATGTCACCCATGATGAAAAACTATGTAAATGCTTCAATTTGGGGCAGTCTTTCTCGGGAGCTCCGGAGTAAGAGTTTCAGAGTCCCCCCCTCCGAAAAGCTTCCCCCTTCATTTCTCACAATTCCATTCAGGGCTCAGAGCAGGTGACTGCAGCGATCCGGTTCCAATAAAATCGAAAGTAAACGTCTTCGGTGAAAAGTCGGGGGCTGTAAATTCGAAATATTTATGCTAATTTCCCATTGTATGGAAAAAGTTCCTGGACGAAGCAGCTTTGAGCCCGGGGACTATTTAAAAGGCCGAAGCTGTGTACACAGAGCCAGGCGTTTGAAGTTGTTTAACCATTGTGTGACCAGAAAGAAGAGAGCGACGCGGCAGGAGAAGGTCTTGGGGACAGGGGAGGTCGGCCGGGTTGGGAGAAGGCACCAGAAGCTGGAAATAGAACTGCCCTTCGCCCTGCTCCCATGGGGCAGACTTCTGGAAGGCAATGGTTTCCAAGCGCAGCGGCGAGTCCCGCCGGAAAGATCTGTGCCCCGCAGAGCACCTACACTCGACTCTTCTAGTGAGGTGCTCTCTTCGCGGCGTAGACTTTCCTTGTCTCTGCCCACGACTCTCAGAGGCTGGTCTCCACTTTACATCCACAGCCCTGTCGTTTAAAGGAAAAGTCTGGCTGACTAGCATGTACCGAACAAAGACTGGGCGCTCAGGGCAGCATCAAAGTTAAGACTTTTGGAGAAACTTAAAACAGAAAGACCGCGCGGGCTTTGGTGCATAAGGAATACTGAACTCTTTTCCCCTCTCCCTAGCAGCGCCTTCCCGCTGCAGGAGCCCGGGTCCTCCCATACAGAAAGAGGGGAAGGGATTCCACAGGTGGAAATCCGAGACCGGCTGTAGGGACACCTACGGGGTGCACAAAGCAGAATTGAGCAAACTGAGTGGAGGAAGAATGATCTCGGGGAGCAGGGGTAGATGAGAGAAGGGACGGGGACCGAGTGCGCACAGAGATGAGGTGTGCGCCCATGGGAATCCGTGGAAGCGAGGCAGCGGGAGTACAAAATCAATAAGATAAACCAGCCGATCGCCAATGCAAAGCCAAAGGGGAATAAGGAATAAAGAGAAAGAAAAGAATATTAAATCGCAGGAGAATGAGAAAATAAACCCGCAAAAGGGAAAGGAGGGGGCGAGGGCGCCTGTTACGGCGTGGGTGGGGTTGACAAGAATAGAGTACATTATGCAGTTCATTTAGTTAACAAGTGAAATAATGAGGAAGCGTGCAGAGTGAATGCCAAGAGAAAAGGCACAAAAACCCTATTGAGAGGCCCCGGCCGCTCCTGGCGTAGCCCATCACATGGCAATAGTCCTATTTAAGCGGCGCCGCCGGCGCCTTTCAGCACCACTAGCGCTGGCCAGCACCCCGAGCTCCTCCCGCGGCTCCCGCGGCTCCCGCGGCAGCAGCGACAGCAGCGGCAGCCTCAACCTCCGCGGCGCCTTTAGCCTCCGGCGAGCAGGCAACAGCGCGCGGCCGCGGCCGGGTGAAGGGGGTGGAGAGCCCCGAAGTTCGCGGGGCGCAGGGAGACGGCTGGCGGCGGGGCGACCGCGCACCGGGGCCATGCCGCGCTCCTTCCTGGTGGACTCGCTGGTGCTGCGCGAGGCAGGCGAGAAGAAGGCCCCCGAGGGCAGCCCGCCGCCACTCTTTCCCTACGCCGTGCCCCCGCCACACGCACTGCACGGCCTCTCGCCCGGCGCCTGCCACGCGCGCAAGGCCGGGCTGCTGTGCGTGTGCCCGCTTTGCGTCACCGCCTCGCAGCTGCACGGGCCCCCCGGGCCGCCCGCGCTGCCTCTGCTCAAGGCATCCTTCCCGCCCTTCGGCTCGCAGTACTGCCACGCGCCCCTAGGCCGCCAGCACTCTGCCGTGTCGCCCGGGGTCGCTCACGGCCCCGCTGCCGCCGCTGCCGCCGCCGCGCTCTACCAGACTTCCTATCCGCTGCCCGACCCCAGGCAGTTCCACTGCATCTCCGTGGGTAAGCCGAATCGCTGCGCAGTGGGACGGAGTAATGAGATGATAGTTCTCGAGCCAGGGATGGGGGTGGGGGGTGAGGGTCCTTGGCCGTCCTGGGGACAATGAAAGTCATGCTGGGACCCTGAGGGGAACAGTCAGGGTGGTGTGGCCAGGGAGGGCTGGGGACAGAACGCCGGAGAGAGGGTGAGGGGAGGGTTTCCAGGTCTCGGAGGGGGCGCGCAGACGCGAGCGAGGGCTGAGGTTCAGGACACTCCATAAAGTAGTGCCAGGGTTGCGTGGCTCTGGGAGTATCTGGGTCCCGCGCCTTAGCAAGAAGGAGCCCGCGGTAAGGCTGCTGTGCGTCTCGTATGGGGCAAAGAGGTGCGTGAAATACCGAAGTCCCGGGGTTCTACTCGCCACGTACCAGAGGATAGGGCCCACAGCGCAGGAGTCTGATCGCTTCCCTCTCTGCACCCCACCCCCTCCAGACAGCAGCTCCAACCAGCTGCCCAGCAGCAAGAGGATGCGCACCGCGTTCACCAGCACGCAGCTGCTAGAGCTGGAGCGCGAGTTCGCCTCTAACATGTACCTGTCCCGCCTACGCCGCATTGAGATCGCCACCTACCTGAATCTGTCCGAGAAGCAGGTGAAGATCTGGTTCCAGAACCGCCGGGTGAAGCACAAGAAGGAGGGCAAAGGCAGCAATCACCGGGGCGGCGGGAGCTCAGGCGCCGGCAGTGGCGCACCGCAAAGCTGCAAATGCGCGTCGCTCTCCTCAGCCAAGTGCTCCGAGGATGACGACGAATTGCCCATGTCTCCGTCTTCTTCGGGCAAAGATGACCGGGATCTCACGGTCACTCCCTAGACGCACGCCTCCCCAGGTCGCCCACCCCAGACCCTCCCTGCCGTCTCAAAGACTGGTCGCGGGACGAAGCACCGGTTCCCAGGCACCCGCTGCCAAAACCGCGGCCACGCACGGGTTTGGCAAGGGTTTGCGGAGGTCCTCGGCCCTGTGCAGCGCCAAGGGCTTGGCAGAGACCTGACGCTGGTATTCCCACTCCGGGGCCCGCAGCCGTCCAAAGCGAACTCCAAGCTGTGAATCCTGCAAGCGCTGGAGTCCTTCTCAGCCATGCAGCACAGCGGCCCTGGAGGGCACGCCGGCCAACCCCGCGCCTTGATGGCCGCTGGCGCCTCCTCGCCCGACCTCTCTGGACTGGCTCAGGCTTTCTCGCGTCCTCTATTCCCCTCCATCCTGGGTCAAGCTGGGCTCTTACCCCTCTGACGCCCGCTCGCTACCTTTTTTTTTTTTTTTTTTAAACATCTTTCTCTCCTTCCCTACTTCTTCACTGCAGTCGTTTATCCCCCTCCCCCCACCACATACATACACATTTACGAAGTCTTGTTATTTTCTTTTCCTTTCCGTCCCCTCCTCGAGGTCCACTGAGCCCATTTGTCCTTCAGTCAGGCCTTGCTGCCCCTGCAACTCCTCTCCCACGAGAGAAATCGTCGCCCGCGATATCCGTGTCGGGGAAACCGACTCACTTTGTTTCGGAGACGCTTTGCATTTCCCTAAAAGAGACCCGGGCTCTCCGCCCCTGGCGATCCCTCTCTTCCCCGGACCCCAGACCCCGACCCCGCCCTGGTCTAGCTTGTCATTGTACGGTCTCTGTAATACCAGAAGATATTTATTTATTTATTTATGTAAAAAAATTTTAAATAAACTTTTTTTGTTTCTTAGAAATCCACGTGGCTCTGGACCCCAGCTTCGGCTCAGGACTGGGCAGGCGCCTACCTGGGTTTCGGCTTCCTGCTGGGGCAGGGCGGGGATGGGATGGCAAGTCTGAGCTCCTCCACACTCCGCTCCCCAACTTGCTGCTCCGCCAGCCCCTGTCTGCACCCTCCGCCCCGCGAGGACTCTGCCTTCAGTGCCCGACTGGCCCCGTGCGCTCCCTAGTCTCCGGCCGAGCTCCGGCCAGGTACAGAGAGCCGAGTCGGAAGGAAAGGAAGGAAAGCTCCTCACGCGGTGGCCCTGGTCCAGGCCCCTGCGGCGCTCCCTTCCCGCCCGGGAAGTCGCCTCACCAGCAGCCCGGCGAGCGGGTTTGGTTGTCCCACCGCCATCCCTAAGGGCAGCGGCTAACTCCCTCGAGAGAGCCAGACTGCTAAGTCCTCTGCTGCGCTCTGACTTTGTGTGTGTGTTTGTTTAAATCTACTGTATTTGCTAGGGATAACTTCCCAGCCAGAGTGTGAGGCCTTCTATGGACCGGCCCCCTCGGCTTGCTTGGAGGCAAATTCTATGACTGCGGCAGGGATTCTGAGGACCCGGAGCCATCGGGCGCCGCGGTCCACGCCAGGAGCCCTGTGTAACAGGCGTCAGTGCCTCTGGGACCTGTGTTCTCACTCATTCTGGTAACACCCCCCACAGCCCACTACGACTGAGAATACACACCCCAACTCTCCTTGGGGGAGACATGCGGGGTTTTCACTCGTTCTGTGGACGAAGTGAAGGGAGTACTGGGGCCTCCCTCCAGGCGGAGAGGGCACAGCCGGGAAAGTGGGGGTATTTCTGCTGCTCAGGAAATCGGATCCGAGAGACAGAGGATCTGGGTTCTCACGACCTCCAGAAACCTCCCATTACTCCTCCTGGGAACCTGGGCCACTTCTTTTCCTGCCAGACCTCTCTGCCAACCGCCTCCCCCCCCAACACACACACACAGCCAGGGTAGCCCCCGACTTCCAAGGTCCAGGCAAAGCAAACATATGCCTCTTTCATGAAAGGCGCTCCAGTGGGGCTGCTCTGCACAGACGGGGTTTATTTCGAAAATGGTCTTTTCCTTCAGTCAAGCTGAGCCGTAAGTGCTCTCTCCAGCTCTCCTAGAAGAAAGGCGGGTGCGATCTGACTTTCCACCATGGGCGTTTCTGGTTCTTCCTGAAGCAAGACTCCAGGCTTGTGCGGGAGACAGAGGAGAGTCGATCTAACCCGCCTCTCTGCACCCTCGCTGGGTCCCCAGTTTCACCTCCGACTCCCAGGAGAGGGGCATTGTACCAATATAAAGGAAGCTAGGGTGCTTTGAGGCATACTGTGAATCAAATCCCAACTAATGTTTTATTATCAGTGATTCTGATGCTTTCTCAGTTTTTCGGCTGAACTGCTACTCTAAGAACACTCGGGTGAGTGAAGTCTTGTGTCCTTTAGCTACGGCAAACCACCCGCCTGTCTTGAGGTTTGCCCACCCACCCCCACCCCCACCCCCCGCCCCCCCGCCCGGGGTAGCACTGCCCTCAGGAAACAGGTCCATGGTGAATACGAAGTGCAGAGGGCTCGCTTTGAACCAGCTCCTTCTCCGGATACAGGAGGGAGTAGTCAGGTGCCCCGACAGGCTTTCTCCAGCTTTCTGTGATGGACCTCTCGACCAGAAGGCATTTTTGGAGATGGGCCTGCTAGGACCCTGGCTTGGGGACGGGGTGGTGGCCATAGAGGAAGAAGGGAATGGAGCTTGGAGGAATGTGATGAGGCTGGACACTGCCCTTCTCCCCAACCTCAAGCATGCTCCTCAGCCCAAATGCTTCTGATTTGTCACCCTATGCAGAAGTCCCTCCAGTTCCCAGCTGCTCGTAGAAGCATGCAAAGCCACTGCTGCTGGCCGGGTCCAAGTGGGTCCAGTTCTCATAGGAGTAGCAGCGTGCCTTTCTTCCTCTCAGCTTTCCCTACCCAAGGCTTTATTTCCTTGTCCCGCTCCCAGAAGACCATCCTTGGTGCTTTCTCATGGGCTGTTCTGGAGAGCATTGGAGAAAACGCAGCCTCCTTGCGGCGGCTGCAGTGGTTACCAGGGCAGTGGGAGAGCGCAGTGCCTGGGAGTGTGGAAGCCTCGGCTGCTGCCTGGAGGAGGGTCCACAGGCTTTGGAGAGAGACGCGCTTCGGTTCAGACACTTCTCACCCTGCCTCCGTTGGGACTGAAGTCTTTCCGCCGCCGCCGTGTGGTCTGGAAAGAGGGCAGAGCGCATCTATGGTCCAGGAGCTACCGGAAACCAGAGCATCTCATCTAGGGACAGAGAATCCAGTCTTTGAAACCAAACTCTTTTGAGCTGGAATTTGGGGCTTCCAGTCAAATTATGAAATTAAAAACAAATTTAGTTAGAATATTTCCTGGAAATTACCATTTAGTGTGGCTAACCCAGATGCAGATGCCTCATTCTATTTCAGGGGCAGCCTCTTTCTTTCCTCTGTGCAGTTGAGTGGCTAGGAGTTTGGACCCTAGAATCCAAGTGCATGACATAGCAGCGCATTTCCAACACTTCCTTACAATCTTGGGTAAGCCCCTGGTTCTTCCTCAACCACAATTTCTTCTGTAAACGGGGATTACGTTAACAGTTCCTTTACAGGGTTGTTGTGCAATATTAAAGGACAGAAATCACACAAAATGCTAAGCACTAAGTCTGCCAAGTGTCAATAAATGGTAACTAATGTTGTTGTAGGTGTTGTTAGCTGTCATGCCTACAGCTGTGCCTGGGACACAGCTGGTCCTGCATGTTGCAAGTGACCGCTTATAAATGGGCTCAGACCTGAACCTCATGGAGGGGCTGGAGGGCGCACCCAAGTGCCAACATTTCCAGGACTCCCAGGAGTTAGTCGTTCAGAGGGTAAGGAGCGGCTCCCCTCTGCAAGCACTGTCCCGTGCTGGGAGTCATGGAAGTCCAAGCTGGAATCCTCTTTCCACCTTCGTTTAGACCAGTTCCTCGACCTCTACACTATTGACATTTTTGAGCCAAATATGTCTTCCTTGTGGAAGCCTGTCCCGTGCCTTGCAGGAGGTTCTGGAGTACCCCTGGCCTTCACACACTAGAGGTCAAGGAGCCCCTGATCCCCTAGGGTGACAACTAACGATGCTTTCAGATATTGTCAAATGTCCTCTGGGGGCAAAAGCACTGAAGTAAGAACCACTGATGGAGCCCCATGTGTTTTCTGCTGAATCTTTTCTGCCAGTGCACAGGGGCCAGGATTTGTTAGCCTAGCTCTCAGCACACCTTTCTACCTTTCTTTCAGTCATTGTTCATGCACATGTGTACCTTCATGTGTATTGGGCCGGGGCGGGGTGCTAAGGGAGATACCAAAAATGCCTGCAGAATGGGGAACATGGCAACTAGTCTATACAGCATGGGGCATGTGGACTGAAAGGGTGAATCCGTCACACTCTTATTGGGTGAGCAGAGTTTACAAAGCCACTGAAACCTTTGCAAGAATATTCTATCCATTTGTCTCATGACCTGTAAACGACTGGGATCCCTCTTGGGTCATGTCCATGGGTGCCCAATGGGAGCCCGAGGTGGCATCCCCCCAATCTCTCTCTCTCTCTCACACACACACACACACACACACTCTCTCTCTCTTCGCCACTACTATGGTTCTTCCTGAAGTATACTCCTTATCTGTTTTGACAATACCTGTTTTGACAATGTAAGTCTGATACTAGAAATCAATTCTTCTTTGTGAAATTCCCTCATATTTGGTTCAACACAAGTACCCCTGAGAGTAGCAGCCATTGAATACATCATTGATTTTTTTCTGAGAGAAGACTCTGGAAGTGCAAAGGAGCAGAAGGCCCTTGAGAACTAAGGGATATGGAAGAGGTACAAGGGCAAGAAAAGCGGCATGAGTAAGGCGGAGGGTACAGGGTACTGGAAGTCCCATCAACATGGACCAGCGTTGCCTGGGGTCATCTGTCCCTAACTCACGACTAGGAAGGTGAGTAACTACCTTACCAGACTCCTTCAGAAAGGAGCTCACCCACCGAGTAAGGAATAAGCGGATTCCAGTGAAGCAAGAACCTCATGAATCCAGCCTTATGGCAATCCATAGATGAGTTTCTA